CATCGTACACACAGCTTCTTCTCCAGCCATCCTTCTTGTTCCTTGGTGAGGGTGGATACTCGATCCACGACCATTGCGTTGGGGTCTTTCGGGGCCCGTGGTGCCGATGATGATGATGTTGTAACCGTTCTGCGTTGTCCTGCTTTGTCGGCTCTGAACTTGGACTCCAGTTGAAGGCACAGGTCGAGGTATTCTGGCCATGTGATGGGGTCGGAAATTCCTAGGCTGTCTCGTGTGACCATTGCCTGGCGTACGTCCTTGCTTCGGTGTTCAGCGATGTAACCGATGAGTGCAGTGTGCCCTAAGTTGGTCTTAGTGGCCCATTGATGGAACTGTTCTGCGAAGGATACCATTGTGGGATACGTCTTGCCGCAGATATCCTTCAAATGCTGCTGCGCATCCTTGTCCGGGTCGAGGGTCCTGTAGTTCACCTTGAGAATGTTGACAAAGTCTTCCCATGTGCCAAGTGCCTGCCGTGCTGCTGCTCTGGTCGCATATTCAGACATGTATGTGAATGCGCCACCTTCCAAATGCAGCAGGGCCGTGGTGATCTTGTGCTCGTCGTCATTGATCTCATTTCACCGCATCCATATACTGAGTTGTTGGAGCCAATCTTCCAGACTTCCTTTGCCCGAGTAGTGTGGAGGCTCAGCAATTTTGATGCGGGGTTTGTGCGATTGGACCGTGCCGGATGTTTGACCTTGCATCACAGTGACACTGCTTGCTTTGAGCGAAGCTAGCTCATGTCGCAGCTTGACGTTAGCTGCCTTGATTTCCATCATTTCTTTGCCTGTATCGAGCATTGCCACCTGGGTTCCTGTGAGCTCGTTGTTCAAAACTGTCATATGCGCATCTTGCGCGAGGATCCTATCCTTGAGCTTCCCGATCTCCATCTGGAGCATTCCCTCCTTGAGTCGGTGTTCACTTTTGTTGTTTTGGATCAGCGACTTGAAGGCTTTCTTGTGCTCGTACATCTTGTTTCCGAGCACATTGTAGACCTTGGCGACTTCGGTACTGACCGTGAGCTTCATTGCCACAATAACCCATTCGCAGATGTGGTCCGGGACTTCTCCAGGAGCGGACTGTCTGAGCGCATCTTCTAGATGCTCGAACTGGTGTCCATCGAATTCCCAGATGGGGGGAACATAGGCGGGTAAGAGTGATGGGGTTGGGAATGCTGGTCCTCCAACTTGCGATGCAGAATCCTGCAGTCCTAGTGCAGGTTCTGGTGAATTGCGCTGCGAGGCGCGTGGGGTGCTTCCGTCGTGTGCTGACTCGACGTTTGTATGCAGAATGTCATCCATTCTTTGCCTGAACATGGATGCGTATGCACGATCAGCTCCTTCCATTGTGATATAGATGTAGTTAAACTAATTGAAGATGAAGCCTAGGTACTGCTTGTCCTTGACTTTTCCAATCTCCCTGATGATCTCGTCTAACCTCTGCTGCTTCCCTATCTCCTTGAAGTTGATCCTTCCTATTTCTAGGCAGCACGTGTTGATGACCTGTTTGTCGACGAAGGTGTATTCACGAGTTCCCGTGTAGAGGTCTGCGCAGACTTTGTCTAACTCCGATGCGAGGAGTTGTACCTTCTTTCATTTGTTCTGATCAATTCTCTCCCAGAATGCTCCTAATATCGGTTGTAGTCTAAAGCGGGTAGCGGAGACCTGCTTCTTGAGTGTTTCGATGTGGAGGGTGGGCCTGACTTTGGATGGAAGAGGGCGAATGGGTTGTGCGTGTGTGTTGACTTTAACGAAGTTGGGAAGGGGTCGCACTGGCTGTGGAGCAACAATGATGGGGGGAACGGCGTTGGAGGTTATAAGCTCTGGGGGCGGTGCCAGTTTGCGACTACCAGTGGTAAGACGTCCCTTTCTGGGCTTGTAGCATTTGAGCGGTGGGGTGTGATTGCGTGGCTTCCAGATGATTCTGCGCTTTATGATGTGTGTGGTATCTACAACCCTAGCTGCTGCTCACTGCCTGTCTGTGGACGATGCGCCTAGTGACGCAAGTGTGAGGAGCCTTCCATGCTCCTTGTTGGTTTCCTGACACTTGTAGTGGGTGTCGAGGTCGATCCTGGGGGTGGCCTTGCGCTTTGAGGCTTTGGGCAGCTCAGAGTCTTGCTGAGGCTCACGCCGGGTAGAGATCGGATTGGAATGTGTGTCAAAAAAGCTGCGCGCTACGGCTGAAACTGCTTGCGCTGAAAATACATGGCCGCTTGTGTTAGACACTAAGCAGGGGCGCAGAAAATGTCAGATTGTTTCTAATGTCATGGTAACACCGGACAAGAGATCAAAAAGACTAAAAAGGGACAGTCACGTGGAACGTGCC